GAAGGGATCTATAAGGATCTAATGTAGGGGCCTTCATATTTAGAATAGGGTTTGGGGGCACTATAACTGTAATAAGGAGGCCCCCAACATGGTACCGGTAATTATGAAGGCCCCTATAGCAGCTCTGTCTCGCGTCTTGCCTCTGCATCGAGGCACCGCCGGCACTCCACGGGAGTATCGGGTACCGCGCTCCCAGCCAGTCATCATCAAAGGCTAATGTAAGGGCCTTAATAATTAGAATAGGGTTTTGGTGCCCTTTATATTAGATTTATAATTAAGGAAACCAACAATATTATAAGTAAAGAAAAAGGCCCTTATATTCGGTCAAGGGCTCAGTGCCCGAATTCCGAATTCCTGAGCCAAAACAAGAGGGTCAGAAGAAAACGCTGTGACTCTGCAGCCGCGACAACCGACACTCCAAACTCTAGTAGTTGTCTAAATTAGGGTCCCTTTTAGGGTCTTTTTATCAGGGTGACGTACTGCATTGGGGGCCTAAAAGGGAGGCTACTTTAGAGAACTACCTAAATCCGAAACCACCTATTTCAAACCCCAGAAATTACAAGGCCAGAGACCGTGATCAGGTGCCTTTGCTGACTAGACTCGTGTTTGAGGGTAGATTAGGCTAGAATTGTCGAGGGGCCCAAAGGAGGGAAACTGCTTCTAAATAGTCAGACCCCCACATAAAACCCTAATGTAGGGGCCTTAGTAATTAGAATAAGGTGTTGGGGCCCATGATACTATAATTATAACAAGGAGCCCCCGAAATAGTATTGGTAATTATTTAGGTCCCTATATTACACCATGAACTCCAATCCGGTATCCCAAGACCCCAAACCCTAAACCCCCCCATAGTGTTCTTACAAGAGAAAGCTTAAAGCAAAGGGGCCATCAGCACGCCAAGGCCGGTGTCGCGCGCCTCGCGCCCCGGCTTCCCGGTGCTTTTCGTGGAGGGTTTGGTTCGGGTTTCGATTTTGGGGTTTAGGGTTTAGGGTTCAGGATCAGGGTTTAGGGTTTGGGTTTGTTTTGGGTTAGGGCTTAGGGTTTGGGTTTAGAGTTTCGAGCCTTTGGGCTTCAAGCCTCAGGATTTCTGAAAGCCAAAGACTTGCGGGTGAGAGCCCAATTCTCCTTGATGAAGGATAAGCTGACCCCAAAAATGAAAGGAGTACCAGGGCACTGCTGAAAATCATGAAAAGTCCAGTGGTCCTGAAAGCTGCATACTTGGGGGGTAGAGAGCCCAATACTCTTTGATGAAGGACAATACCTTCCATCACCAAGCCCTCTAGCCCTCTACGATGTTATGATAGGGTTTAGGGCTTGGGGTTTAGTGGGGTATGTTCCTGAATCAAAGAGTTCTGGACACTCTTGGCCAGGTAGGGCTTCTTGCATGCGCAAGTGCTGGAACGTGGCGGAATCTGGGGCATGGCTCAGGCTTTTCGGGTGGTTTCAGGTTCCAGGGTCTGGGGCTTTTTGTTGCTTTAGGGTCGAGGAGTTCGCGTTTAGGGGTAGGGTGTAAAGTTTAGAGCTTAGGGCTAAGAGGTTGGGATTCAGGGGTATGGGGGCCCAAAGTAGTCCGTAATTATACCACGCTATGCTGCTATACCCCCAAGCCCCATTGGAACTATTTCGGCCTCTACAGTAAGCCATCCCGAACCATGACCTGAAACCCTAAACCCTAAACCCCTAAACCCCTGAACCCTAAACCCTAAACCCTATACCCTACTCCTTAAACCTCAAACCCTGAAATCCAAAACACTACGACCCGGAAACTCAGAGAGCCCAATACCCCCTGAATAAGGAACATAGCTTAAATCTTACTCTGAAGCCCCTTATAATTTAAGCCCTAAACCCTAAACCC